ACTCGCATGTTCGCTTGTATTGGCAAGTTAGAGGTCCTTGCACTAGGGGGGGAGGGAGGAAAGTAGAGTAAGTTGTGAGCGTTGTCCATGAATCGGGTACGTGGGGTGCTAATTACTGTCACTTTCACGGTGTGAACGACTGTCACGAAGGCCTGCGGGCGATAAGCGAGTGCCACTCGGCGTCAGCGTCGGCCACGGAAGTGAAGAGGATTGTGTTAGCGTCTTCTGACAGCACTGTACTGGATTCGCTAGCCGAATAATCACTGTTTCGGCTGCTGCTAACATGAATCGCAAATAAGCTAATATTGGCTATTTTTAAGCCCGGAGAGCAGGTACTTCATGGCTCAGCACTGACACAAAATCAAGTAGTCGACTCACGTTTCTTGATTCTGACAGTTATCTATTTCCCATAGAAATATTTCTTTATTGCAGTTCCGGACTCAGTCAAATAAATAATTCATAAGGAAATCTCATTTGCTTTATGGAGTGGACAGATAAGCCTGCCATAGGCGCGGATAAGATATTTCGTACGAATTTCTTACGGATCCGAACGCAGCAATCCTAGGATTAAGGTTTGCTTGTATGCGTCCGATTTTTATAGTCCTCAACCGTTTCTAGGTTGGTTATACAGTTATAAATCACCAAAGTATGTTCAAGTCGTAAATCGCATCTCATTTAGGGGCCCGCATGTTCCCTTTGCACGAATATACTCCATCTCATTTGGATTTAAAATTGTGCACGTTCTCCAGTATAAACTTCCCTTTGTTCAATCGATCAAGCTGGTCTGACTTTGTGACCGCGCCGCCTCTTGGTAGTCAAGACTCTGAACTAATTTTTATCGAATCACGTAAAGGACATATTATATACAAAAAAAGTTGATAAAGTCTTAAAATTAATATGAGTTCAAAAAACGATAATTTATCATCACGCGAGGCATCTTTTATACTGATTTGAGCAAATACTTTGATCGTGACCTTGATACGACTGACTCGCAGGGGCATTTACAAAATCGCTAGCCCCCTTTTAATTTTGCCCCTGAAGTAATACGTTAAGCATGAAAATAGGGGCTACTTTACAGGCGCAGAAGGTAGGTAAAATTCACCACGTAAAAACATTTGGATAGAGATACATTTCCAAGTTAATTGAAGTTGCTAAATCATCTGACCTTTAGAAGGTTGCAAAATTTAGCTATTTGTGAACTCGAGCCATAAGTGTAGCTCTTCCTAGCCTCAGACATGGTATTATCTTAATTTTCTCATAATACAGCTTAAACTATGGCATAGTAGGTTTTTATCCTCTATTAAGTTAACCTAGATCTTATAGTGTCATTACACTGCGTCTTTCTTAACCTATTGTAAATATCTTTTTTATGAATTTTCAGCATATTCTACGTATACTATGAACAGTACCTAACAGTGGCAAAAGAGACCCTTGTACAATTGAGTTTGAGCATTGCGGCTGTGACTGTCATCACTTGGATCCTGTTAGGTCTGGACGTGGTCGCAACTCTAAACACAATCATCGGAGTAGCCGCCATTCTCGTCAGCGTCATG